ATGTGAGTGTGAAGTGTACTCTGTCCAAGTTGGCGGACAATAATAAATTGTGGGGTGAAGTGTACACTCCGGAGGGTAGGGAACAATTGCAGGCAGACCTGGACAGGTTGAAAAAGTGGGCAGAACACAACAGGATCCAGTACAAGGACAAATGCAGTGTAAAAATATCCAGCACACCTACTGGCCGGGAAGTGACCCTCTCAGCAGCACAGAAGTGGAAAGGGATCTCAGAGTCATAGTGGACTCCAAGATGAACATGAGTCGTCACTCATATGGTCTTGGGCTTACAGGACAAGCCCTATGAGGAGAGAGTGAGGGACCTGGACCTCTTCAGCCTCTGCAAGAGAAGGCTGAGAGGTGATCTTGTGGCCACCTCCAAATTAATTAGGGGGAAGCAGCAAGGGATTGAAGGTTCTCTATTCACCAGGTCGCCTCTTGGGGTAACAAGGAGCAATGGTCACAGACTGACAGAGAGCAGATTTAAGCTAGATATCGGGAAAAACTTCTTCATGGTAAGGGTGGCCAAAATTTGGAATGGGCTTTCAAGGGAGATAGTGCTCTCTTCTACCTTGGGGGTCTTTAAGAGAGGGCTGGATAGGCATCTGGCTAGGGCCATCTGACCCCAGCACTCTTTCTTACCTAGGCAGGGGGTTGCCTAGCCAGTGGGTTGGACTCGATGATCTGTTAAGGTACCTTCCAACCCTAGCACCTATGCATCTATAAATCATTAAAAATATTAATATTTACTATTACAGCAATAAAAAGGAATTTTTTAAAATAAAGGTTGCCATTCCTCCTGCCATAACCTATTGTCAGGACACCTGTAGATTGTTGCTGTCATGTGAACCTCAGCGAGAAGCTACAACAGGAAAAGATTCATGTTGGGTTCAAGCAGACAAAACAACTGCACTGACTGAAAATGAGGGAGGGACACAGACTTACAATGAATTCTGCTGAACTGTGAGAAACTATTTTGCTGTCTGTTCTATCCCACAGTAAGTAAAGTTACATCACAGTAATTTACCATGTCTGTCATTCAGGAGTACATCATTGCAATTTAGCTTCAGTTATCACAGGATAGTAGTAGGCAGACAAAACAGTTATAATGAATCAGTTGATACATATGAGCAGCCAATCCTTCCGCATACTTTCACGTGATGCAATTGTTCTTTGGTTCATGCTCTCGGAGAGTTAAATCATTAAATCCAATCCTTAAAAGCCTGACTGCAGTTGATCTGTTAGTAGGAAGCAAAAGAGCGGGTACAAACTTGCACTCTTTGCTCCTGCCTTTCTCAGCTTGTATATCTTAGTAAAAGGACAAGCAACAACTGCAATCACAAGCACTTCCTCAGACATAAGCCACCTGGAAGACAATGTCACATAATCCCTACTGGGGATCTTTCTCTTAAAAGCCTTAATAGGATTAGGGTATTCAAGTGTTGTTTATGTAAAAACAAGAGCTAACTTTTACATTAAAAAACTTATCCAGATGAAGTCAAAAGAATAACAGCCTGCTTTATTATTCTGACAAATGCTGAATATGTATAATAAAAGAAAGGCATAAATATTCAAAATTTCCATTTCTTCAAAAGATGTAGCAGTTTTCTATATTTTTATCCCAGTAAAATTACTTATTGCAGAATTTAAAGTGAGAAACAGGAATATGTTAAAGTAATGTATCAAAATATATTTAAACTTTAATGCATTTGACCCATTTCATGCACACCACACAATTAACTAAACACAATTTGATGCCTCTGTATTCAATATGATCTGTTTCATTTTTTTTATTAAATCCCTCAAGCAAACATATATAAAAAAAAGAATTTCTATGAAAGTGTTCATCTTTCCTTTAAAAAGTACAACAAAGTGTGAAATAAATTGACGTTGGCAGGCGTAATTCTCTACTTTTTGCATCAAGTTTACATCAGTGCCATTCCGCTTGTTTCAGTTAAGCTACTTATGATTTATATCATTTGGAGGAGAATATTGGGTTTGTCGAAGATGCTTGGTCCCCGTCACCATACTATCTGAGCTTTTCACAATGATTATGCATTCATCCTCGCAACACACCACGAGGCAGAAAAGTTCTATTATCCCTTTTGTACAGATGGGCAACTGGAGCAATGACAGAGTAAGTGACTTGTCTGAGATTACACAGGAAGTCTACAGCAGAGCAGGGGACTGAAGCACGTCTCCCACCTTAGTCACTGGATCATCATTTCTCTCCAACAGAAACGAAAGAGATTGCGTTCAAAACTACTGCTACCGGTAAACATAAAATACAGATGAGCTTCCATGAAAATGCCTGGTCTCAAATAGTGAGAGGATATGTGTAGACTATTCACATAGCTGAGTATTTTCAGAAGCAAGCATTCTGCTTTAACACATTTTACAGTGTTGAAACAGACACCGATTCTGTGGCCCTAGGGTTACCATATTTCCAGCATCAAAAAAGAGGACACCTAGGAGGGAAGGGGCATATTATTGTGGGGGGGGGCAGTGATATGCCCATACCCTGCCCCTCACTCCTAGGCTCATGCCCTCCCAGCTCTGCTGGTGCTCCTCACTCCTGACCTGCAGAAGCAGCTCCCTGCCCCCCAGCCCTGCCAGTGCCCCCCCCCAGGCCCGACCGCCCCGCCCCCCCCCCCCACCCCTGCCAGTGGCCCTTACTCCTAACCTGCAGCCCCCACCTCCTGAGTGCTGCCAGTGTCCCGCACTCTGGACATGCAGCTTCTGCCCCCCCAGGCCTGCCGATGCCCTCCTTCCCTACCTGCAGCCCCTGCCCCCCCTGCCCCCCAGCCCATCTGGTGCACCTCCCTCCTGAGCCCCAACCCCTGCCCCTCCAGCCCTGCCGGTGCCCCTCACTCCCAACCCACAGTCCATGCCCCCCACCAGCCCTGCTGCCCAAGCATGTCCCGCATTGCATGGGTGCTCACACACACGCACTCATTCTCTCTCTCTCTCTCTCTCTCTCTCTGGCCCAGGCGGAGAGCACATGACCCCCAGCAGCAAAATCACCTTGCCTGCTACTCCCAGCCCCAATCAGCCAGCTTTGGAATGAGGAGGAACCCAGATACTTCGCTCTTATTTTAAAAACCCGCCCATACACAGCACAGGGGGACAAAAAGAGGACATGTCCAGGAAAACCCAGCCGTATGGTAACCCTAGCACTGAGAACTGCAGAATCTAGACTGTGCAACACTGAAGCATGGATCCAAGCACTGTCAGCCTATCATTAATGCTGACCAGTATTTCTCATTATAAGACCTTCTTTCCAGTGGCTTATAAAACTTTGACAAACTTTAATCATTTAGGCTCAAATTTTCCATGGTGGGCAATTACCTGAGATTGATTTTTGGGGAGAGGGTTGGAGGGGGGGAGGTGGGGACAGAGGCATTTCAGTGAAAAGGTTTTGTCCTTTCTAGGACCAAGGTTAAAAAAAATACATATTTTGCCCATATTAGACATTTAAGATGTTTCTTTGAAACTCTATCACTGCCCTGCTGAGGACCAAAGACTAAAAGTTTGACAGGAGTGACTGATATATTAGGGAGAAGTTATTTGCTGTCCTCAGAAAATCTGCCTAATAATAGTCAAGTTACAAGCCTCTGAAAGGTGATAGTCTGCACATGCCAAACAGAAACTTCCTCAATGTCATCAGCTAAAATCTGAAAATTCTGTCCTTTCTGACTCTTTCAAGAATTAATGTTGACCACACCGTGCATGTGCCATCCCTATGAAATGACTGAACATGCTCCAGCCCAGAACTAGGGAGACAAAATCTAACTTCTCCTGCAATTGCTGCTCCCAGCTGCTGTTCGGAAGGGTGATACCCAGTTCTGGAAATGACCATTTGGAGTCTGTTTCTCTGATTAGGTCAAACAATGTGGAAGCAAAAACCATGTAATTCGAATGAGAGGGAATAAGAACTAGATTAGTGGAGGAAATCAAGTAGATTAGGAAACGATGATTAATAAGAGTGGGTCTGGTGGTGACTGGAGGAAGTAGGAAATGGAAGTAAAGATGGCGACTAGGAAATAATGGAGAGGTAACAGATGGAGGATGGGAAATGGATATGAAAAGGATCTGGGATGCAAGAGAAGGACTAGCACTAATTTTGCAAAAGGACTAGGAAAGGAAGGCAGTAATGAGGGTGTGACTGAGATGGGATAAGGCGCTTGTAAGGACTAGGAGACAGTGGGAGAAGAGGGAAAGAAGCAGATTACATAAGTAAATTGGAAGGGGAGATAAGGATGAGAGTCCTGAGGTGGGGAGACTGAGACTGGATTGGCAGGTAGAATGGGATAGGGATGAGAAGCCTAGAGGTGGGGAAGAGATAAAACTGGGAAAAACACAGACATTACATCACATTCCCACTGCAGTATATTCTCCTCAGAGCCTGGAATGGTACTGAAGTTCAAGTACCAATTAAAAAGAACATTAAGGTTGCATAGTCAAAAGCTCAAAAATTAAAATGTCAGGTTACATAGCCCCCTTCCCCCTTTAATAAGGCCCCCCAGGCAGATAGTTTATTATGCAGTCTTAACATTACAAGGATGCAAAAAAAATGCTATACCAGCATGTTAAAAGCTGCAAAGAATCGGGGACAGAAGATTTCTTTAAGATATAAGAATCAAAGATGAGTCCAGTTCATGCTGATCTTATTCACAGTTATGTATATAGTATATGCTTAGAATGTGACTGCTGAGTACATTCAATAAATTCAAAATATATGCAAATAATATAAGCGGGGGAGGGGTCTCACCTCATTGACTCGGGGCTTGTTAATAATGTTTTTGGCATTTGAGGCATATCTCAAGGTACTCATGGTCTCATTGTAGCTGGAGCTGGCAGGAGAGATGGCTATAGATGAAGAACAAACACTGATTTAAAGAGATTCCTTTAAAAAAAATAAAATTAGTAAATGTATTTTAAAATATATCTTTTATATTTCATACCACAGAAGTGAGGCATTTTTCTGTACAATGCAGATCACCATATGTAAAGCCAACAGAAACATGAACTCACTGGCAACCATGATAGTCTTGGAGTTGCCTCCCAGGCTGTCCTTCAGAAGCCAGGTGAGAATGGAGTCACGGTATGGAATGTAAGCCTGCCTCCTGGTTCCACTGACGCTGCCTGTAGTGTGACTACCCACGGGGCTGCTGTCCCCTTCACTGGTTATGCTGTTTATACTCTGGCAGCTACTGAACATCTGCGAATTCTGTGCTAGAAAACAAACATACAACAGACAGCATCTGAAAGGGGTTATCTTCAATGGACTCAGAGAGGAATCTCTTGTCTTCTTTGGTTGGTGTATCCTTATTCTCTCACTTCTGTATCCTAACTGACTGAGATAACAAAGGCAATTTTAATTTTGCACTTTACACCATTGCACTAGCTGCCCTCTAATACTAACAGGTCAAAAACATTATCAGTTCCTTAGTTGAAGGAGTTCCTTTCAACTCCTCATTCTAACTCTAGACATACTTTAAACACAGTCTATCCAATGATGGGAATTTGTGCGCTGCTACCTCTTAAAGTAAGAATATTATTACACATACCTAAGGTGGAGATGACAATTCCAAGAGTAACCAATGACTTGTTAATGTTGGCACCTTCTGTAATCCGATCTTTACAGTAACTGGGATCAGCTCTTTCACTAAAACACATCACAGGAAATAACACACACACACAAACATATATGCAATACCATATGAAAATATTCAGTTTTAAAAAAAATGCCTGATGTGAGAGAGTCTGAACAATGCAGAATTCTCCTGAGACACAAGAATAGAGGAATTTTAGGCTTTTAAGAAAATAAAATGTGATTTGAATGTTTTATATTTTGTCACTCATTTTTAAAAGAAGCAGTAATGCTAGTTTTTCAGTGTGCTTTATCATAAAGAAGGTCATGCTATTATTGCCCGTTCAGTGGCACAAACGGCTGCTAGGTACTCACTAACCATAATGTGAAACTAAGTGTACATTCTTGCAGAAGATAGCACCATCAGATTGATCCTGGGCAAGAAAACTGTCAAACATCACTCAGTTTTATGGGAAAAATTTGACCTAACCAACATCATTTCATTCAAATGCATAGCCTATGTCTGAGCATCAGAGTAGCACACCCTCAGATGTTATGAATGATTATGCATTGTAAGATACACATTTGAGAATGGAAAGTGTTGTCTCAGCAGCTGTTTCATAACAACTGGCTACAGCTACCAGAGCTACATGGACCTCAGTCATTTACGTGCAGAAAGCAGCTGAGATGATAACAGGGCAATGTGGTTAGTGATAGCGGAATGTACCACACAGAGTCTTTTAATCTTATTGCATTCTGCTACCTCGTTTAGTACTGAGCACCAAGTTACCAATTTTTCTCCCTTCCATGCTATGCAATAACCGAGAAGAACAATGGTCTTGGTTCAACCTTTTCACACACAATTTTGGTAAATCTTTTCCTATAATTGGAACAGCCTTCCAACGGGAATAGTGCGGTCAAACAACCTCACTTGTGAGACTAAGATCATTAAGTCTATGAAACAAATTACATGATGTGGTTGCCTGCAACAGTGGGGGACTGGACCCAGTGACCCAAGAGGTACCTTCCAGTCTTGTGCTCTTATATTGGTCTAATAATATCCAACTCCCAACACAGGAAGATACATGACAGAGTGATAATTTTAGCTTCACATTTTTCCTTTCATACAGAGAAGCCAGATTTAACTTTATTATAATGAGGTTTTTTTAATATTTAATTTCCTTTTTAAAAAAAAATCATCAGTCATTTTTGTGTGGAAAACAGCAGCTAACATTTTAGCAGAGCTCTTGTTCCCCCTGGTACAGTATTACCTGCCTGCAAGGTCCACTAAGTTGATCTTGCTTGCAATTTCAGAAGGGAGATTATTCTCCAGAATAGCCTGAAGGGAAAAATATGTATCAAAATATGATTCAATTTAGTACAACAGACTACACATTTTTTATCGAGGAACTGTATTTCTGGAAATTCCACTGACTTGCTATGTGACCTTAAGCCATAGAGTATATGCATCCCATCAATTCAACAGCTGTCTTAACTTGCATGCAAAACTTTCTATTACACTGATTTTTCTTGAAAAACACTTCCCTGCCAGTGACTGCGTGAAAATAGCTTCTCACAAACCTCACAAAGTCACTTTGTACTAGCGTATTCCAAGGTTCTTTTGTGAAACTGCTAAAAAAATCCTCATGTTCTAAGATTACAGGATGTCAGAAGCTTGAAATAGAAAAGGTCTACCAGATAACTGAGACCATTCCTTGCCAGTGAAGAATATAGTCCCCCCAAAGAAAGGATGTATCACACCAGATACAACATAATAAGTGCCAGGATGTTAAGGAGGTAAGCACATTAGGAAATGCCAGAAAAACAAAATCCTGGAGTAGGCATTAAACTTATTCTGTTCTGGATCTCACAATCCTAACCAGTAAATAGTAACAATAGGTCACAAAATGTGATCATAGTATCATAGTATCATAGTGCTTAGGGTCGGAAGGGACCTAAACAGATCATCAGGTCCGACCCCCTGCCCCAGGCAGGAACGGGTGCCAGGGTCATATCACCCCAGCCAAATATCTGTCCAGATCCCTCTTGAAGACCCTGAAGTAGGAGACAGTACCACCTCACTTGGGAGTCCATTCCAGAGCCTGGCAGCCCAAACTGTAAAGTAATGTCTCCTGATGTCCAGCCTGAACCTTCTCTCTAATGATTTGTGGCCATTATTCCTAGTAACCCTGGGTGGTGCCCAGGGAAACAGAGCCTCCCCCAATTCCTGCT